TTAATTGTCATTTTTTACAAGAATGTACTGATGGTCATTTTATTATAAGAATGTACTGTTGATTTATGTTTGGAGGTTCGCTATTTGCCCATAGCTGGGACCTTAAGAGGTGCTACCATTCAGTGTGGACCTGGAAACAAAAGTAATTAAGAGGCGGTTTCACGTCCTCAAAACCTCCACTCTCCCGACCAGAAGCATTGCTGCCGGATGTACTTTATCGTCATACCCAGGACTCATTTAAATATAAATATATTTAAATTTATAGTATTCGAATTTCTTGGATGAAGCATTGCTAATTTTTAATATATTTGCTCGTAAAATATACCAGTTTTACGAGCAATTATAATTGAACGGCAGAGTAATTCACTCTTCTGCCAATATTATTAGCTCAAACCGCAGGGGACCCATCCCCACCAGGCAATACCTTTCCTTCGGGAGGGTGCTGGTGTCATTACCAGGCGCCTGCGGCGTCCCCAAAATGGAGAAGTGCCGAGAGGCTTGAGAATTTTTCTACGGTACTGCCGATTAACCTACATTAAACGTCGCCCTTTGTGTCATATTTCGTTCGCGACGTGGGCGTATATCTTTTCATGCAAGCCATGGTTATGTAACCAAATATTAAATGTCATTTACTTTAAGACTATCTGTTCCTTTAGTTTTTCGCACCTAAAAGTGGAATGATCTGATATAAAAGGGTGATGCGTCCTAAGTTGTTTAACAGATCTAAATGTAAATACCAGGAAATAAAAGGTGAAATTCTGAACTCTTGTTTCATATTCATCTTTTTGATCTAAAACCTGAATGTCTTCAGTTAGCAACAAAAAATGAATTGATCTTGCCGTTCCAATACTTTGGAGGTGACTGTATATATATATATATATATATATATATATATATATATATATATATATATATATAGTAAGGTAATTAATTGTTTGGTAATCCGTGTGGATAATTCCAAAGAGGAGAGCTAAATATAAAACCAGAGCAAATATTAATTAAATAATTAAGAAAGAGACAACCCTAAGCTTCCATGATTATAATTTTATATATAATATTTTATTATTATTAGTATTATTATTCCTCACAATTTTATTACGGTGAGGAACAATAAGTATATTTACTCATACATAGTTCTGTTATATTAGATCGAGCACTATTTTATTAACATCAGCACTCAAAGTGCGCGATATATATATATATATATATATATATATATATATATACTTGATTCTCCCGTCGAATTTGACGTATGAGGGTCAAGCAGATCAGTTCCTAGGAAACTGACACCAGCACATGAGATTTGATTATAGTGATGAAGGCTTTGTGCAGAACCATTCACACTTTTCGAAAGGCCGAATACAGAGACTTGTCACAGGGTCCCCAAACGACCCTCCGCAGGTTTTGAATTCAGAGTTGTTCTTCTCCTAGACCAGTTGCCGTCCAAGGCTATAGAACCCAGTTTGTTCTGCTATTTACCCATAGATGGGGGTGAAGAAGAGGATGCACACCTTTCCCAAGGGTACGTAAGCGAATGTAATGGCTGGGACTGGAATTCGATCTCGGCTCTTCGATTCCTCAATCCAAGCCACTATCCATTATTACTTATAAAGTGCCTCTATATATATATATATATATATATATATATATATATATATATATATATATATATATATATATATATATATATATAAATATATAGAAAAATAGAAAATAGAAAAGAACTCGTTAGGTAAATAATCCAAAGTTCTTTAGTATTTTTGTTATTATTTTTAAAAAATAGTGCTCGATACAAAAGTAGAGCATAAATATAATTATCTATTTAAAAATATGATTCCAACACGCTACTTTTTTTTGGGAATAACTTATTTCTGAAATTTACGTCTTTTATAAGCAAAAAAATAACAAAAAAAACACGTATAAAACACGTAAATTTCAGAAATAAGTTATTCCCAAAAAAATTTCACTTGAAAATGGAACAGAGCTTAGTACTTTAATTCAATTTAATTCAAATAATTATTTTGAAGTTTTCGGCTCTTGTTTTGAAACATGAGAACTCTTATGTAGCGTGTTGGAATCATATTTTTAAATAAATAATATATATATATATATATATATATATATATATATATATATAATTATTTTTTTAAAAAATTACTACGTTTCGAAACTGGTCAGCGGTATTCAGGTTTAATTTCAATATTAATCTGCCAGGTGGTAGTCTCATTCTCAGGCGATGTTTGGAATAACTATGCGACGGAATGTTTTACTCATTTATAGTATTGAAATGGAGGTGTGTTCTAGTTTGTTTTTCATTATCCAGGAGTCACTGCTTTGATTGAAATAGAGGTGTTTGTCATCTGTCAAGTTTTTTGGAGTCGTGTAAGTAATTTCTATGTCGCGATGGAATCATATTTTTTAAAAAAGAATAATTATAATCTAGGCTTTACTTGTGTATCGAGTACTGTTTTTAAAAGATAAAAAACAAAAATACTAAAGA